AACGTTTCTGTGGGCACTAAAGCATCAGCCGACCAGACAGGTTCGCATCTCATGGATGTGAAATTGTTGATAAACCACGTGTGTCTACATTCCACTGTTGATCCGATCTGCCCGAATGTTGATCAACCTGGTAAACCGTATCCAGAGCGAATCGATCTCATATATGTTATTGTCCATATCTGTGTGCGCAGTGAAGGTAAGAGATCACCTTCAAGCACGTGGTTCCATCACACCAGTAAACTGATGCTACGCCAACTATTGTTGATTAGTTGTTTCTTTGTGATGGCAGAAAAGCACAGTTAGATGTGACGCATATTTTTGGTACTAGTTCTATGTGAATAAATTGTTTCGATAACAAACATCAATGCAATGAGGCGCACAGTGCATGATGCAGTCATTCCACTAAGGAAGGGTGGTATTGTGTGTATATACACTCTAGTCGGCCAACCAATGCACGTTACTCCTATAGTGAAAGACCTGGGTGTATTCTCACATTGCGATTTGAATTCTGTGGAACAAACGAGCAGACTACACGGAAATAAACATCGCACGCATTAGGTGCTAAAACGCAGCTTCTGCACAAGTTCTAAACAGGCCACCAATCTCCTGTTCTCTTCTATCATAAAACCAATGATATATTATGGCTCACCCGCCTATTGTCCGACCACCCTTAGAGAGGTGTAATAACTAGAAGGTCCTCAGCATGTAGCTGCTACCCCTTTTCCTTTTACTAAAGAATGTTTTTCTTATACGGACGCAGGTGAATGGGACTAAACACTCCATCGTATCGTCGGTTTCTAGTTGAATATACAATAACCTCTGGAGATTACATCTGGTCAACATTCCCATGCAGAGACCACTGCTGCACATGCGCGGACTAAACAGCCCTCGCGGGCACCGGTACAAACGGCTATAGTGCCAAGTGTGAGGACTTTAGCTCAACCTAAGTGCTTTGCTGGTCCAGTATTGAATTAGTAAAACAGTTTAGCCCACACAATAGTCAAGACAAATCTGTGTCAAAAGTTAAGAGGTTACTAGGCACCCAGTTTGCAGATTAAAGTTTTCGTGAGCACTTGGCACCAAAATAGGAAAAACCGCAAAAAAACATGGTGAACATGAACAGAAATAAATGAGGTACTTCAATGCACATTGCGAAACCAATTTCGATTTAGCAAGACAGATGTGTATTTTCTAGCTCCCTATTTTCGCTATTCATTATTTCTTTATAGCCTTTTAATCCCCAACAATGTAAGACAAATGGAATGCCCACTGGAGTTTAATAAAAACTTCAATTACAGGTGATGGGCTCTTTATGCGTTTAGTCTTTAAAGATCAACATTTGCTATGATCGCCTCACTTTGTTGGGGTTATGTATGCGTCCCTCAGCGACTTCTTGAAGTAAACTCAGTCGTAGCATATTAGTGCCCGTCAAAGATTAACCGATTGAAGGGTCTTAGTAAACAGGGAGTTGGATTAGAACCAACAGTCGAGCTAAACGAGGCACAGAGAGTAAAACAAATGGGAAAGCAAAAATCCCTCCCCAGCGGTTGATGCTAAGCTGGTACTAAGTGAATTCTTAACGAAATTGCTCTTATTCAGCAGTCATGAGATTCAATTGTTATTCGCTGCAAAAATACTTCTCAATTATCAAATCTACATGTTACTACTGTCCCCAGCTGAGCGTGAAAATGTCCACACTGCGCGTATTTATCTACGCGTGTCTGTTAGGTTAAATAACCGCCACAATTATGGCTTTGAATTGATAGAAGATGTGAACCTGTGTTTTAGTTTAATGCACCAATACTGTTTGTCGATGCTAAACCTTGTCGTATTCTAAAGCGTGGCGAATAGCTAGAAACTCACATTACTTACCAAGGACCTGAACTAAGTCTTCAAGACCGTGTTGCATCACACTAAAATTGATAAACGCTTTCGGGAAATTATTACAATGAGCTGGACGAACCAACATGGTAATTTCGACGATTATTCCGTGAAATCCTGGATTTGAATACCCTGTGAGAACAGCAGTAACATGATTTGTAATTTCATTAACAATTTTGGTCGGACCTGCTATGTGCTTACGTACACAGCATCCTATATACACAGTATGCTTTGTCTGCATTTCAGGGATTTGATCGCGATGCTAAGATAATTGGGGACTTCAGTGCACTGAGGCAGATGTTCACGGACTGTGTTTCTTATCTTGCTTTCCACTTAAATGTGAAGTTCTTAAACTCATCCACGATGAGAAAATTGGAAATGTACCGAGCATGGAATAAAATTTTCCATAGTGTCTGCACATTCTGCTAACATGTTCCCCTATAGAAGCATAACTTAAGCGAAATAATCTCTCACTGATATTCTTCCACTTAACGGTCTGTGTCCCCACTACAAGTGGGTACTTGTAAGATCAGAATAATACACTTCTTGGTTCCGGCAGACTCGCATACCTAGCGCAACTCCATATGTGTTTGGCCCGAGTACGCACCAGAAACTTGAGACCGTTTGTCTCTACGTTCAAAATTGCTTGATTAGATTAATTATGTAATTTACTGGAAGAAGTTATATACATAAATGCTGAGTGATTTGAAAATGGTGCTGACGTAGGTTGTAAACGGAAATTCACAGCTGGGTTTTGTTGCTTCTTAAATTTGTCAGCACAACCCAGGTTCACCCAGATTTCCATGAGTGTTGGGGGCTTCCTAGAGTTTCCAGGCCTCAATACCCTGTGCGTCCTTGCAGATCCAGCACAGTGAATTCCTCATGGTCATACACTTCAGAGTATAGCTTTATGTCAAGGGCTGACTACAGCAAACATGAAAACCTGTTATTAGATGTACTTGTTGCTACCTTAGTGAACTGACCTAGGAGGCCACACCACACGACACTGAGATAGTTCAGCTAGAAATGACAAATGGGTTGCGTCAATCAGGTTCGCCACAATGACGCAATCGGTGCTGGTCTGTGAATTGTGTGCATTCCCTTCGGAATAGTCCGCATAACAGAGGTAATGGAACAACAATGGTGCTTGCCCGCTGTGACCTAGCGGACTACGTAGTATAAACATTATGACCATGTGGTTCATGTTGCTGAACATGAAATCCTGAACCGATGATTAATTCTACTTTCTGAATCTTGTAGAATCAGTAACTTGCCTGAAAAATGTAGTCAACTTAGTAGGTCTTGTTACTTCAGTCTGAAGTGCTATTGAAAACAGACTGGAGATTTTAGAGTATGAAGATTGAATTCACCTACTTGGAGAACTTGACGGCCCACACAAGGAGAGTGCTGGTTGGGCAATTATCCATTTCGGCAATAAACCATGGAGGACTGTGCACAACACCCACTAAGCATGTAGTTTAACTGAAGACCGCACCAAAGTGCGTCCACGTTCGAAATCCTGAGTCGTCATTAAGACGGTACGGCAGTAGCACAACAACATTATTTGAGCAGTCATTTCGTATGCGAGACATTTCAAGTAGTACGACTTCGGCGTCAATGAACTTCACTTTGCCATGTCTCAGTTGTAAGCGACAAATTCGCTTGGGGGAGGGCTCGGGTGACACGTAAATCTCCCGGGTCCAACCAAGAAAGGAAGCAGAGACATTAACTACGTCACTATTCAAATAGTAATTAAACCACAATAGGTGGTTGGCGACATCCTGTTTCGGATTTGCCTGTCACTGTGGCAAGCCACAGGACGCCTGTAGAGGGACCATGCCATTAACTACAATAGGTACATACCTTGAAAATACCCGATCAGTTCCGAAACAACCGGCCTTCACAATGTTCAAAAGGAATGCAAATGGCAATTGCCACCGTACATAAACAGTCACACGCTACAGAGTCCACGATCGGACTATGGCCTTTCTTATATTACGTCCGTTAAACCTTGATTCATTGGTTCGTTATACAGCGTATGCAAGGGAACGCGATGGGCTGGGCTTGGCTCAGTCAAACAGTAGGAGGGGTGGGGTGGGAGGAACATGGAGATGCGTACTCCTGGGGCGGGAGGATGATTCGACTCTGATGGGTGTGTGGAGGGTGGTCTGGACGGGTTGTACAATGTAAGCGAACGGTTTCCACATTGAGGGGTGAATTGAACTCATGGCAACATTAATATGAGTTCCCAAGGCGGATATTCGGTAAGCCGGCGCTCATCATTTGAGGCAGGCGTCTACCCTAGTCATCCAAACTGAGAACGCGACGTGCGGCTTGTTAATTACATAATAGTTATGTCGGTTGGCACGTCACCATAGCACATATACTGGGTGAGCGGATAGATGGCAGGAGTTAAGAATTAGATCATGTTATGCATCTTGTGGATTACATAACATTTAGGTCGGGAGGACAAGTAACCATGGGGCATAGGATAGGTAAACAACTGGTTGGTAGGACTCCAGAGTTAGCTCGCGTCATCCATTTTGTGAATTTCGTAGTAAATTTGCCGCTTACATGGAAACGTCATGCCTACCCTTTTCAACGACGCAGTCGTAGTCTACCGTCCGATGCATATCGTTAACTTTGCCATACTCGTCAGATCAAGACCGAGTTGCTCGGTTTTTATTTGGATGAAAACCTAACGAACTATACCTGCTCTGACGGACGTCTGAGCCGTTCCTCGGTAGTTGAGTTAGTTCGCAATTCCTACCAGCTCATCACCTTATTGGATTCGGCTGGCCACTCTAAATACCGGCGAACCTCTATCGCCGGGCTCGCTCGTGCTCAGCCTGTCGGCACGTTGCTCGCCGTCATTACGACTCCCAGACTCACGTCCATTGGGTTGGAACACGCGCAGCTCGCATTCTCTCTGCGATTACCCGTGGCCGTGATCATTTCGAAAATTGATCGACTTGGTAATGGCATTGAACGACCTAACCAGGTGCTCACTGTGTGCCGTCAAGTGTCCAACACGTTGAGTCAACTGGGGTCTGATATCAGTCAGCCTGTTGATAAAGAAGAAATTTGCTGTCACACGATCTCATCCCCTGTTCTACCTTATGTCTGTAGTCACCGACAAGGGGATCGACGCACTCATCCACTTCCTCAGTGGTCTCGGATGCTCCGTTCCTATTGATACCGGCTTGCGAAGACCTTCAGCCCATTCACCCTCTACCATTGCTGGAGAACTGTTCAACGATTCGGAAAGCCACGCCAGTCTCGCTGGCACAGCTAATCCCGAACCTGTGCACTATGACGACAAGGATCAGTGTTTCATTCGCGATGTTGTCCAGATGCTGTTGTCCGCAACTGCGCACTCTCGCAGGACCTTCATGCTCTTTTGTGTTCACGAAGTGTTCACCAGTGTTGCTGGTGTACCGGATCCTGTGTTGCTTGGGACGGCTCAGTCTGGTCGATTGATCTGTGGTCATCTATCAGCGAAAGCTACTCAATCCTATCCCAAATCGGGTTGAACATTTAATCATTCAAATAAAGTGGCTTCTGAACGAAGATTGCGATAAGGCTATTTTTCGACTCGGCGTCAACGACGATGGCCATGTCGGTGGTCTTGCTCCCAGGGAACTGGCTGGCTCGTTGGACACGCTAGAATGCATGTCCAAACGAATGAATGCTACCACACGTTTGTTCCAGGAGCGAACCATTGATCGAGGCAACGTAGCGCAAAAAGCTTACCAGCCCAACGAGTCCGCAAGACGCTCTAATTGCTTGTCCGACAGTCGCTGTTGACGAACTTTGGGCGACTGAACATTTGGTTCGCCGTAGTTGCGGGTATGAATTTCGGCAAATCCACCGTCATTGGGGTACTCACCGAAGATGAACTGGGCAACGCGCGTGGTCAAGCACGTCGCAACTTGTTTTTCCACCTGCACGAAGTGCAGTCCGGTCGAACCATATGTTTAGGTAGCGTATTGCATGGTAACTTTACCGCTAACATCAGTCGCCTGAGTAGATCCCGCAACATCCAGGCCTGAATCAACCAGAGCTAGATCACTTTGCTGAGAGAACTTTGTGTATTGGAAAAAACACAAAATTGTCTTCCACTTTAAACGTCAGCCTGAAGGCGCATAGAACAGGCATGACTTTTTACTACAACTACTGAGGTCAGCTACTACTTGATTCTTGAGGAATGATCATCTATGGAACATTAGAATTGCTGGATCCTGATGTTTCTGATGGTCACCCATATCCAGTTATGAATGTTATGACGACTGCGTTATAAGTCGTTATAGAGTAAACTACAGCAGGTATTACCATCCATTTTGTCGCTCCCAAAGAGATACCGGTGGACAATCAGCACGTTCCCGCTGGTTTCACCCGATTTTTGTCAGCGGCGTGTTACAGAACATAGCACCGTTCTCTGAATGGATCTGTGCCGCTAGTTTAGACAGGAGCACCAATTCAGCAGGCCATGACTACTTCTGTAACTTTTATAACGCTCATTATCAACGAAGTAGCAACAAGATTTTAGACAGAGGACCCCAAGGATGTAACACCATTGTCTCCCGTGTTTGCCTCAGTTTCATTGAAAGTGCTACCTTGAAGTCCACATCCTAGTAAAATTGGTTCAGTAATGTTCGGCACAAATTCTCAGCATTTGTACTCCGCCTATTCTTCGTGTACTTGTTACCCACTAAAACTTTACATTTTCTCGAATATTGTCAAAATGTGGTTAAAGCACAATAGGTCGTAGAATTTTGACGACTTAAGGGGGACAGGAGAAATGATTTTGAGTGGCGTGCGAGGACTTTCTGTTCGTACAGCGTGGCTAAATGCTAGATGTTGCATGTACTATGGTGGATCAAACAGATCTCGGCTAGACCCATAATTAAATGAACTGAATCAAAGTAAGATTATTTCATAAAAGTATCATATTCTGGAAGCATTATTGCCAAGTCTCAAGTTTCTATCATAATTTACGTGCAGGTGATGATCCATTGAATTGACCTTGGTTGCTGAACTTCTAAAAATGACAATTTTAAAAGTCGTGCTGTAATCAGTTTCCCACAGAAAAAGGACATGAGCCCACAAGAAATCTATACTGGTATAGTTAAACACTTGGTGAGGACTGCCCTTCTTATTCCGCTGTAAAGAATTGGCGTAAAAGCAATGAGACGAGTTAGGAGAGCACTGAAGTTGTGCTACTGTCTGGCTGTTCAAAATGTTTGATGTGTGATGCTCAAATGGAATCAATTCGTTGAATGATATGGTATGATAGAGGACTAACTATTTCTCAGATAACCAAGAGTATAGGCATCAGTTATGGCTCTGTGCATGTTGTTTTATGGAACATCTTGTGTATGAGAAAGTTGACTGCACTATGGATGTCAAGAATGCAGACACCCTATCAGAAATGGAACAGGCTAGAAAATTCGAGGAAATGTTGGTTCATTTCAAGAAAAATCTTACAAATATTTTCACGATTTGTTACCAAGGATGAACCTTGGGTTCACCACCTTGAAACAGTCGACGATTCGAACTGAACAACGGAAGCAACGTGGTCCTCATCCCCAAAGTAGTTCCGTCAGTTGGCTTCCGCGGGAAACGTGTTGGCCACTGTTCTCTGGGACACTCATGATATAATCATGATAGACTTCTTGCTGAGAGTCAGACCCTCACAGGTGTTTATTACGCTTCGGCATTACTCCAACTGAAACAATTAATCAAAGAAAAACGTGGGAGGGGGGACCTCGCAGCAGGAGTTCTTTTGCATGACAACGCATCTGTTCACACTTCTCAAGTGGCCGTGTCAAGAGCAGCTATGTGCGGCTTTGTATTGCTGTCACACACCGCTTGTTCAACAGATCTGACCCCATCAGACTTTTATCTGTTCCACAAACCAAAATCTCCTCTTCTGGGTCACAGATTTGCCGACGGTGACAAGTTGATCAGTACCGTGGATCTCTTTTTAGAGGAACAGTACTAGATCTACTTCCATCGAAAGATGGCAATGTTTGAACACCGCTAGACTAAATACCTTCAACTTTTGAGAAGATATGTTGAATAGTAAAAGAGCATGACTTGGATAGTAGGCTACTTACTATGTCGGACAGAGAAGATTTTGATTTATCCTTATATGTTTAGGTTAAATTCTCATGTAAGCTCGAAAAACCTAATTTAAAGTTTCGCAGTAACCTGGTTTTCATGTATCCATTCAGTAAACTTCAGTGAATTTAGACAGGTCAAGAAGAAACAACCAATACCTAAGTGAAATACGTTACCGGAGCCTGTCATCCCTTCCTTTTGTATGTGAAGGATAAACGCTCGTTCCACTTACCACACTAGCCTACGAGTTTTACGGTGGACATTTTTGTCTACGGATTGAGATGATGAATTACTACACTAAATTTGAACATACTTGCATCTTCCGCCATCTCTTCAGAATAAACCACTGTCTAGACCTGAGGGTCTCCGTTTAACAATAGTCACTTTGTTGACTTCAAATGCACCGGCAGTATTACTACCTTTTTGAATGTGCCAGATTTTGCCGTTACTGCAACGTTAACATTCGAAACTGATTTAGAAACTCTGAGATTCCTGTGTTGGTCGGTAAATACTTATGTAAAAATGGCAGTTTTCTGAGGCTTCACTACAAAAGCAACTTAAGCATCCTCGTGTGCTTGCTCCTATTGACGAAAATTTCCTTCACGTATAAGAATAATACTACTACTACTAATAATAATAATAATAGTAATAGGTATATTTCTCTTGATGAGAGAAACTGTCTATAGCAGCACAGAACAATCTGTACAGAAGAATCCGTGCTCTTATATGGGTGACATTCATAGGTGGAGTATTGGGATATACGTTTCATGTATTAACATTTTGCCGGATGGTTGAGGCCAAAGCCTAGTTATGAAATCATTGGTGTTTATATGCTTTTGGGCCCCTCTTGGAATAGCTCAACAATGGATTTTTCGCACTTGAATATAATAGAGCTTGGGTTGTTGGATCAAGACAATTGGCCAGTCTGCTACTAAATGTTGTCACATTGTCATATGACCTGAGGGTTATTGGTAGTTTATTCCACAGATAGCTGTTTTTGACCAGGAAGAAATTAGAGCGGACGTTCGTTCTAGCCTTCGGTATATTTTGTGTAAAATCTGTGTTGGGAAGCGCTCGAGTTGAGTAATGTTGTAAGTTGCGTGTAGGCCGATTGAAATAGGTTTTTTTATGTAACACGTTGAAAAGCAGCAACAAGTTGTGCTTCAATCGTCAAATCTAAAGTGGTTAGAGATGAAGTTCATTGCAACGTTCTCGATAACTCATAGCAGAGCGTTTACCAACCGGATGTTTAGTAAATGACCTATGCAGGTGCTCCACAGCAATTCCGTCACTCTTTCACATATTTCCATATATAATGCCATAAGATTCGTGGATGGGGCGAGTGAGTAGCTTTTAAAGCTCTAGCTCGAGTTGTGTGTATTTTTTTGATATCTTGAACATAGACTGTCTGGCACGTGTTAGTTGGTATTGGGCCTGTTCGGAGAAAATGAACGTAGACGAGTAGCTAATTCCAGGGTCTGGCGTGGACAATTGTGTAGGGAGGCGTTCATTTTTGAGGGTGACATCCTTGGGTGGCGTAGCAGCCATAAGACATGATGCTTTATTTCTTAGCCGAGAGGTTCATCACCCATGTATCATACCATAACTCAAGGGAATGTAAATCATCTTGAATGAGCAGTAATGTGCCGTGAAGCTCGTCACGTCGAAGCTTATAGACAATTTTGATATCGTCAGCAAATAAAAATGATGTATCATGTTTTACAGATATGGCAATAGTATTGATGTAGAGCAAAAATAATAATTCATCGACATTGTCATCTTGCGGAAATTCGCAAGCATTAACTTTATGACATCAGTGTATCAACATTCCATTACAACTCCTACCTCCAAACTTCATATATGGTGGCTTTTCGTATCAGTGCTGGAAGAGAGGGGGCACCGGGTGTATTAGCATTTTCCCGTACTTCTAGTAATGAGATGGAACAAATCAAAGATTAAAAAACCCGATACCCCCGTTTGAAAAGGCTTCGTCCTGAATTCACTTAACAATTGGATTACTGCTCCAAGTTTAGATCAGTTCACTAGTATTTTATGACAGTGTAAGTCAAAACCTCCGTAAGTTAACAACACGAGGGTCAGGGCTGAATTGGTCAGCATATATGGTTGTCATCATACAGAAGTCTGAATCCAAAAGTTTTACAAGGTGAAATCGCATCCGACGAAAAACAAAACGCTTAACTTAGAGTAGCGGTTAGCTTATGGAGGTGATTGACTTCAGAGGTTATATTCCACTAGCAATAATAACTTCTTTGATCTCGTGACTGGAAGAATTATTGCAGCGTTTAACAACCGACATCTGCAACTATGCATAAACAAACTAGTGTGCGCTTATTCCATTCATCTCTCATGTCTTACTGTGATTTTGTTGGTTAGCTTGAACAACTCCACAAGCGCCGCAGAGTATCCATGAAAGACAGGTGACCAGTGTGTCACACGTTGGTACCTATGTAAACTCGCTTTATTTAAGGTTTAAAGCCGACTAGTTACCAGAACACAGTTCTATTGGCTGTTCCAGTCCGCATTGAGTTAGTCAATGCAGCATTTTCTTGGGCCCAAGGGTGCTCTGTAAAATATGGACACAACGCGAAACGATTGGTTGACTGTATAGGACGAGATATAAACCAATCAACAAGTACAGCCTGGTGGTAGCAAATAGAACGAAGCTCGGTTGCACACTGTTTTCTACGTTTTACCATCATGAGTACGGATGGAGACACCCCAGTTAACTCAGCAGAACGTGTGGTTATGTTCCCGGTGGACGGCAGTCCTCATTCTGAACGAGCATTCAACTGGTATGTTGACAACTTGAAGCGAGAAAATGATTTGGCAAAATTCGTGTGTGTAATAGAACCGGCGTATACGGCTCCAGTGATTGGACTTGGTGCAAAAGCTCCTTCCCTTCCGGATGTTGCCCAATTAATGAAGGAGAGTATTTCGGCCGGTGAGAAAATCGGACATCAGTGCATGCAAAGAGCGAAGTTGGCGGACGTAACCTCTCAGGCATTTCTTTATGTAAACAGCAAACCAGGTCCTGCGCTGGTAAACTTCATAACTGAGCACAAAGCCGATATGGTGGTTATGGGTAATCGAGGTATTGGAGCTCTTCGGCGAACATTTTTGGGAAGTGTGAGTGATTATGTTTTGCACCACGCTCACGTACCAGTGGCAATTATTCCACCCCATAAAAGTGAAAACAAGTAGCCTGTGAATCTCAGGTTACTTCAAACCATGAGTAAATTCCGGTGTAATTTCAGCTATCAATAATAGAGCTATTTTGATTATGAAAACAAAATTGTTCTCTGTTAGACAAGGTTTTCCATGTCTATCATTTTGTTCAACAAGAATTTATTAATATATGCACCGTTGTTAATTATTATTGGGGATTGTTCTCACCGTTTACGCTGACACATACATGTGTCTGAACCATAATAAAAGCGCAACAATATAACAATGATATTGTGTGGTTGAACACAACGTAATAGTAGTGAGTGGCAGTTAAAGAATTATACCACTCATATGTGCTCGCTAGCATAACTAGTCATTATCAACTTTTATCATAAATGTAGTAAGGTCAATGGTTAATGGTATATTGCGAACAGAGAAATCGAAGCTTAGCATATCCCGCAGGATAGTGAGAGGGGGTTTTTCAAAGAAAAGGAAATACAACCAGTAACATAGAATAACCGATGACAGTGAACATGCCGAGCAAAGGCGCGTCGGTCTATTTCGTTCAAATGTGGTTTTATACAATTGTCATCGCCTTTAGTTTTCCCAGAAAAGCGGATGTACGCTGATGCGGTTATTTTTCGTAACCTGCTTGCGATTCATGTGTGTTATATGATGTGGCGTAACGCGACCAGCGCATTGTCGACAGTATGTTCGAACACAATAAATGTGGGGGCTGATTCCCGAGGTGAATTCCATATATGGCGCACACGTAGCGAGAATTACTTCTGTCTACACTCTAGACATATATAATGATCTGCCAGTTTAAGACGATGGCCTCAATGTCTGTTGTTTTGGCTGAGCTTTATCAGCCGATAGCAACAGTGCTTAGAGTTACTTAAAATTGGCTAACCTATGATAAAATCACCGAACAAACGCCGATGGCGTCCACTGAAAAGGTCTAAAATACCCAGGAGCTGGTTGTAGGGAAGCGATACGTCTCTTGGACAATTTTGGTGACCCGACGTTGTGAAATTTTCGAGACAGTGAGATCCCTATCCAGTCATTGCTGCCATGCTTGAATCGCATTTTACACATGCGGACGTATGTATGCAGAAAACAGCTAAAAAATAGATGGATCAAAGTGACCATAAGCTCTCTGGAAGAACCCTAAATTTTGGACACCCTTTGTTGATGCTAGTGCACATTGCTGTGATCAACCGAGGTCTAACTTGGTGAGTACACCGAAATCTGTTTCCGAGGACACTGCTGGCGATTCAGATCGCCCAACTTATAGGTGTGAATCATTTGGTGTTGTAGATGGAGTACTGCTCATTTAGCCACATTGAAGTTGACCACTGTGGACTGACCATTCATAAATCATGTCGAAGTCGTTTTGATACTTTACGCGGTCGTCTGGAGCTTTGCTCAACCGCCAAGCCTTGATGTCGTCGGCGTAAAGCAAACAATGTGAAGCGATTGAGCTCACAAGATCTTTAATGTAAATCAAGAACAGGCGGGACCCAATGCCGAACATTGTGGCACATCACATTTCACTTGTATAGGATTTGGTGAAGATACGCACATTTACATTTCTAGATGTCTGTGCACGAGGAAGTTACTTATTCACTCTAGGAGGGAACCGCTAATGTCTTACCGCTGAAGCTTGGCTAGAGGGATGTAACGATTTAAGCAGACGAATCCCTTGGAGACGTCGAGGTACAAACATCAACTACACCAATCTCCACTTTTTCGAGCAAATTATCCCATGCTAATATCATATCGGTATTGCGTGCTCGGCTTCGGTGGAAGCCATGCTTTTGTTGCACGTTGTAGTCAAGCTCGTCAAGGTAAGACATGAGTGCGTCTGCAGTGGTAGCCTATATAACTTTTATAAGAACTGGAAGAAGACGCACTAGACGGTAGTTTCCTTGGTCGGAACGACTGCCCCTTTGAAACAGAGTTCTAATCCCAGGTTACTATGCTGTAGAAGCATGCATCTCGTCAAGTCAGTGCTGGATATTCGTGCCAGAGGTTCCGTTAATTTCTTAGCTGTAACGGTAATCGCTTTCTGGAGATTATAATCGATTCCGATATAGATGTGTGGGTGCATTAATAAGAGCATTTCTAGCACAATGTCTGCCTTAAAGTGGCAATAAGTAAGTCTTGTTGGCGTCACCTTACATTCCAGTGGGTCAGAATATCAAGTTACACATTGAAAAGTTGGCACGTACCGATGCAATGGGGCATTTACTGCTTCTTTGGCGGTCCATGTGGGTCCATCTGTTGTTATGAGAGAACTTACCGTTTCCATTTTAGTAAAGATATTCACATGCTTGTACAGTAGTTTGTGATTGGAAAAAATCGGACCGTAATAGCCTTTTGACATACAACCTTGTCCTCGCGCACTAGTTGAGTGCAGTTTTTAAGTTAAACGACGTAGGTTCTTCAGCTATTTAAGCTCGGGTCGGCTTGTGAGCCTGCCATGCAGCATTTTTAGTCGCCATGCATTTTTGTGTCATACTCCACACTATCGAGTGCTTGTTGCTGTAAGGGCTAGCCTAAGTTTATGAAACATCAGCAACCAAGACGTTACACTCGCTGAAGAAGCGTTCCCAATCAACATACAGGGTAACCTCGGCTAGGATATTTCAGTTGATCATCTCAACTAGCATAGCTAATGTGTCGTAGCAAGTCATATTCCGCGTCGCTTTGGTGTTCATCCGTGGGTCTTCTGAATAGCAGGTGTACATGAAGAGCAAGGTTGAACGATTAGCGCAGCCTAAAGGAGAATCAATGATCACCCACTTAATCATAGGTTCTTCGTTCGCGAATTTCCGGTCTAGTATGAGTGGCCTATATGCATCTTTGGATCTGAATCATATCATTGGCAAATTCTCTCACACAAACACTATGCAACCAAGGTAACTGCTGCTAATGCAAGTCATATATTTAGAACTCAGTTGAGGTGAACAACGAGGCATTCTTCTGAAACTACAGAGTATATAACATTTATGACTATAGCTGTATTGATAGTAATAGGTGAGATTTATAGTCGTACTGTGAATCTCTTCCTTCAAAACGGTCCCAGCCTCCTCACTGCAAAAAACCTTCCGATTTCATATGGAAAGTTGGGAACGAATATTCTGCAGTGCGTTCGCATTTCACTTGCTGGGTTCGGCTATCCCCCATGGTGATTTGATCGTCGCAGCAATGACTGACACTGACCCTTAACTTCCACTGTTGTCTTGGTCAGAAACAATAGGCGGTTGATGTAAATATCCAGTAGATTGCCTGTGCATGTAAGAAGGATGAGAGAGTGAGCCTAACGTTTATTGTAAAGTGTTGAAATGCTTGTGAATACCGTAGGTCCAACTACATCGTCCTTCATATTCATGAACCTTTGAAATACGATGCTTTCTTTAGTTAATGCAGTAAAATTATACTGCAGTAATGCGGACGCCCCTTCTGGCACTACTTTTTCTCACAGAAAACTCTAAAGCTACTGACCATATCTTCTGTGCCTTTTTTAATCACCTGGCTTATCTACTACCACTAAGAACATCAACACGAAATGGTGAAGATAGCGTGATAAATAATGCAGTCGTTTTTTCGATGATAACCGAATACGAATTTTATGGATATAGATGTGAACATTGGACGTATAAATATCATGGTTTTCCTTACAGTATGATTCTGAATACGCCAAGTGAAATTACACCAACTGGGTGACGACATATGTTGTCATTGGGGAAACAGCGTTTGTAGTGATAAATAAAAAGTTCGGAAATTATACCCATGGAAACGCAAGAACACAATTTTGCGAAGAGTACTGTTTTCGACAAATCTCCTCAGGCATTTACGATTGTAAACTGGAAAGGCAGAACACAAATGGCTGGTGAAGCCAAAGAGGTGGGAATAGTGAAATCACGACAAACAGAAACACAAAAGTCTTGATCAATAAAGTCCACTAACAACCCATCTGACAGAGAACGTGTTAGTTGATCGGTGGAATGCCAAGCGCAACATCCGACCACTGGAGGCGCACGGAGTGATAAAAGTTGGTAAGCTAACGAGGGCCAAGGTAGAAGAAGCCCTTGCAGCACAGCCTTCTGTTTGCATAATTCCGGTTGAATGATTCCAAATGCGATCACTTCGGCCGTCCGTAATATTTGATTCTTAAGTTCTTTAGTATACCGTGGCTGTACTACATAAAGTACTTGGAAGGCATCAGCGGTCCTAATTCGGTGTCCGTTTTCTACCAGATGTTCCAGGAGGGAACTGTTGGCGAGACTGAGGAGGCCTTTCCGCAAAGCCGCTGGGCAGTTCTCCGCAATGCGTTTATACAAAAGCCTGGTTGTGTGCCACACGTACCTAGTCTGGTTTTGAGAAAAATGACTTTAATATGAAACGTTGGGTTTCTCAGAATATGGTGGAATTACGATCCTTTTCGTGCACCCCACCTTCTGATGAGAAAAACCTTGTGGTCACTGTAAAGTGGCCCTCCGTGCATCAAAAGTCAAAGTCTGGGCCTCGATCAGAAATTCATTATTCATAGAACGCAAAAATCATTTTATATCTCGAGTCAATTAGAATCACTCGCAGAACAAATCTCCTTTCTATTACATTCTCAGCCAGCGTTCGAGTTTCGTTCAATGTCGATCCAAATCGATTGCATGCTAACCTTCAGTTCGCCGCTGCAGCGATCGACCCGCTTCCAGACTGTTGGCCCAAAATCGTTAAGCTCGACCGATCGCTATGCAACGGGCACCTAAATGTAGTGTCTTACCATCACATCCTTCCTTTTTTCGTTTTTTTGTAGTCCGATTGCGTAAGCGCTGTATCGCCTTCCACTGCGTGTAGTCTTGTGGTCGTGTGCTGCTGTATCCACCGAAATGTCCGGCTGCGTTGGCTGCTTCGCACGATGCCGTGCTTGTTCACCACGTTGTCTCCTTAACTGCACCCGGTTGCGTCGAAATAGACTATCCCCAACTCTTACGTCGTAGCTTCGTTCGCCTTTGAGACCTTCTACTCGCCCTCTCCTCCAAGACCCGTTAGCTCCCGGT